AAGAGGCGCTCGAACAAGTCCACGTCCCCGCGCTCGAGGGCATCTGCTGCATTCGTGTCCAGCGTCTCCAGCAGGGCCATGCCTGACGCCGCGGGTGCAGTGGGCGCTGCGGGCGCCGCGGCGGCGGCTGCCGCGCCTGGTGCTGAGGGCGCTGTAGAGACCGCGGGTGCGGCTGGCGCGGCCGCCTGGGGGCGGGGGAGCTGCGGCTGCGGCGGCGCGGAGGCGGCTCGCCGCGGCGGCGTGGGGGCGGCCTCGGCGGGCGCCTCGCCCGCCTCGGAAGCGGCGCGCGGCGGCGCTGCACCATGGGGCGGGAGCACCGCTGCGGGCTGGACGGGCTGCGGGCCGTGAACGCGGCAAGGGCAATCGCCGACGAGCCGCGCGAGCGCGCCGCAGGCGTCGGCGCCAGCGGCGACGAGCTCGAAGCGTCGGTACCACATGTTCTTCAGAGGCTGCGCCCCCATCCTCTGGACCAGCGCAGGGGCGTCGATGTGCAGGCCACGGGCGCCCCACGCCCGTGCGACTTCCCAGTATTGGAAGGCGCCGCCGCCCAAGTACGCCTCGAGGTCCCTGTGCGTCTCGGGCAGCACCATGGCCTTGAGGAGCTCTGGGTCGTCGCCCGCATCGGCCGCCCCTCGCGCCTCGCAAACGGCGAACGCGCGGCCGCCGCTGCGCGAGCCCACGATGACGACGAGGTCGTTCTCTCGGAGGCGTTTGAAGCGGCTCTTGCCAGTGCTGCACTCCATGCGCTTCGTGCCATCGGCCTGGGCGTTGGCCCACCGCTGGTCTATGGCCCACGTGAAAACCTGGCGCAGAGGCGCGCCCTCGGCCCCGGTGGGCGCGGCCATGCCCCTGGCGGCCCTGGGCTCCAGATTGGCTGGGGCGCTGCGCATCGCCGCCTCACCCTCCTGATGGACATCACTATTATGCTTATGCTGTTTCGCCTCCATTGCGGGCGCAGCTGCTGCAGCTGCCTTCGGCGCGGCCTCGGCCTTGGGGGCCCGCCCCTGCGCCGCTGCCGCTGGCTGCGCCTGGCGCGGCGGCGCCTTGGCCGCGGCCGCGGCCTCCGCCGCTCTCGCTGCCTTCGCCTTCGCCTCGGCCGTCGCGCCCGTCGCCCTGCCCCGCCGCGCCACGTTGTCCGCGCCCTTCTGCCTCCTGTACTCATCGCAGAAGAAGGTCCCCGAAAAATCAGCAGCGCGCCCCCCGTGCTCCCTCTGGATGAGATTCATCAGGGCCAGATAAATGTTCCCAGCCTTGCCGCAGTCGGGGTAGAAGCACTCGAACGGCGGCTCGTCGGCCTCGGTGAACGGAGGGCGCGGGGCGCCCTCCTCTTGCGGCGGGGGCGAAGGCGCTGCCCCGGCGGCGGCGGCGGCGGCTGCCTCGGCCGCAGGGAGCTCGGGGCCAGCGCCGCCCGATCCACTGCGCCTACTACTACTACTACTACTACTACTACTACTACTACTACTACTACTACTACTACTACTTCTGACTACTACTACTGACTACTACTACTACTACTACTACTACTACTACTACTACTACTACTACTACTACTACTACTACTACTACTACTACTACTACTACTACTGCTGCACGGACTTGGTGGCGGACGAAAAGACCACTACAACTGCGACTGCTAATGCTATACGACTCCCACTACTACTACTACTACTACTACTACTACTACTACTACTACCACATACTACTACTACTACTACTACTACCACTACTACTACTACTACTCCGACGACGACAACTACTACTACTACTACTACTACTACTACTACTACCAATATTTCTACGAATAGAACGACTACGCGTACGACTACGGCTAGGACAACGACTACGACTACGGTTACGAGTACGAGTGCTAGTACTACGACTACCATGACGATGATGACGACGGCCACTACTACTACTACTACTACTACTACTACTACTACTGCTACTACTACTACTACTACTACTACTACTACTACTACTACTACTACTACGACTACGGCCACTGCTGCGACTACTACTACGACTAACGACGGCTACGACTACAACTACGACTACATATACGACCACGACCACGACGACAATTATTACTACTGCCGCTGCGGTACTACTTCTGAAACGGCTACTACTACTACTACTACTACTACTACTACTACTACTACTACTGCTACCACTGTTACTACTACGACTACTACAACTACGAATACGGCTACGCCTAAATCTGCTACCACCACGGATACTACTACGACTACTACGACTATTACTGCGACTACTACTGCTACTACTACAGCTGCAACCAGTGCCAGTACGACTAGTTCTAACATTACTACTACTACTGCTGCTACTACTACGACTACTACTACTATCAGCCCAAATCCTACGACCACTACCAGTGCAACGGTTACGACTACGATTGCGGCTGCGACTACGGCTACGACTAAGACAGCGGCGACCACTACGACGACGACGACGACGACGATGACTACTACTACTACTACTACTACTACTACTACGACTACTACTACTACTACTACTACTACTACTACTACTACTACGACTACTACTACGACTA